CACCAGTGCCCCTATTCACATGCTCGTGAAGGCCTGAGGCTAGAGGAGACCAAGCACACTAGATCTTTTGTTGTGCGAGCAAGCATTTCTGTCCAGTTCAGAGGGAGGATGGCATTTTTTACATCTCTTCCTGCAGTTTTGGCCCTGTGTCTGCTGACCACAGGTGAGTTCCTGTGTTTATCACCAACATGATCTGTTGAGTGCCAAGGGCCACGGGGGCGCGGGGGGGGGGGGATTGGGGGGGATGGGGAGACAAGTTGGGACTGCTCTCACATGCAAAGAATGGAGAGGGTGCTGGAATGCCAGGCTCATGGGGGAAGGCCTGGGACAGATGACCTCCTTGTGAAATCATTCCTTTTCCTCTGTCTCTAATTCAATTATCACGCTTTGCTTCTCTCATTCTCCAGGATGGAAAAATCTAGACTGCCTCTGCCATTGCTCCTCAACCCCCCTTCTACAGGGGTGTGCAACCCTTCCAGGCCTGCCTCCAATTTTAGGGTCTTCCTCTTTCAACACCCACCCTATGTAGGACAGATCCCAGCTAGATCTGAACATCCTCTTTGCCCAATAATTGGGGAACTTGAGGCATCTAGTTCCAATGCCTGATTTTGTCACGAGGCTGGTATCCCAGCTGATAGCCAATAGGTGTGTGTACGTTCCGGCAGGGACCCTCCCAGACCCCACCACTACTCCCAGGATTTGAGAGAGAGGAGTAGGAATTGCCTACCAGAGAAAGGAAACAAAACCGTGTTGTTTGGATTCGTGTTCTATGTTTGTTTTCCTCTGGAATGCCATTCCCCATTACTCTCTTGTAATCTTCTAGAAAATTTCTAGAAGCCTACTGAGTCGTCCACTTCGTTACTGGCCAAAAGCGATGGAAACCCTGTCTTCCAGTTTGGGATTTCCATTTTCTTGCTGTTTGGCCAGGAAGGAGGAGAAAGCGTTCGATGGGTCTAAAAAGCAATAGTACCTGAGGCCAGTCGAGCCTGGTGCCGTGGGCTGCACCAGAAGCCTGTGCTCCATTTCTTTTAGGGAACGGGAGCTTTATCATCAGTATTATTGATGAGACTCTGGCTTCCTTTCCAGAGATTAAGTATTTTTGTCATCATGTCTATTATTCTTCACAAGAACCCAATTAAGGAAGATTGCCTCAACAGAGGAGACTGATTAAATTCACAGATTTATTGCAAAACCACTTTGGGACTTGAGGAAAATGAGTTTCACTGCTGAGCTTCCTTGCTTTAAAGAAAAAAAAAAAAGTCAAGCTGTAAGACTGCATCCTGGAATATCCATCCATAACAGATCATAAAATACCCATAACATGCACACAGTTTATCTTTCTCCAGAGAGGCTCGAGATGCTTCTTCTAGGCTCATAGTACCTCCCCAAGTGGTAGGTGATGGCTTCTGTGTTTCTGGGACACAAGAGGGAATTCTGACCCAGAGCAGGATGAGGCAGACAGAGGCCAAAGGGAAGATTTTGCTTTGCAAAGCTTACAGCCCATTGGCTCAGGGAGACCCTTGTGATATGGGTCCCAGAAAAGTTGCTGTAAGTAGGAATGATGTAAACGAAATCTGATTTTTCCATAGAAATGAGGACAGCATTGAGGATTCCTGGCCCCAAACCCAATGCCCAAAATATTAATGAAACAACCACAAGCATTATTTTAAAACTTGTAACTTGCTAGTGAGGATATCCAAGACAAAACCCATACTCCCACCACAAAAATCTCAGGATTTGTTTATTTAAGGCAGCCTTTCCCCAATTGTTTTCTGTAGAACATTAACCTCAGAGGACGCCCTGGAAGGAAAGGTTTGTGGTGATAAAATTGGGGCATTGCTGCCTGCCTATTGGGTGCTCCTTGATTTGCAATCCTTATTAACACAATCAAAATAACAGCTAAGTCTTACTCAAAGTCTGCCTGAGCCAAGCACCTGCCGTATTTTAACTCACCCAGCCTGAGGCAGATACTGATTTACGCCATTTTGCACATGAGGCAAGGGCGGCATGGAACAGTTAAATGGGTTGCCTGGTTAAAAGGTTCAAGGTCCAGCCACGTTTCAAATCTGTTCTCATCCTGAAACGCATGCTCTGAACCTCTAAGCTTCATCACATCCTCACTGTGTAGCTACCTGGTCACACGGCTGTGTCTGTTTTTTTTTGTTTGTTTGCTTTGTTTTTGTTTTTGTTTTCCATTATTGCTTCTTTATACAATTGAGTCCATCCCTAACTGTCACGGTGGGTCATCTTTTGTTGGTATCCTTAATGTGTATGCATGTCTTCACACAGAGCCAGGCTGGGATCATCGTAGGTGATACCGTCCCCTCACATCAAGCTGTCATGCTTCCATCTCACATGGCCTTGGTATAAGTGCTTGAAGCATGCTTTAGTGGATTTTCATCAGTATCTCTGACAGTTTATAGATAAACAAAGATGTAAGGGAGACAGGATGTGTCTGAGTTTATTTACCCTGTCTTTGGCAAGAGAGTCTTTGTCTACAACATGAAAGTGAGTAAAAAGCAAAAGTGGGTTAAAAAATGACACCCAGGGTATAACGTTAGCCCTTGTGTTTGTGGGATTGGGATTTCTTGCACCACTGGCATCTAAGTAACTATGAGCTGATGGTGTATTTTATCGGAGCGATGTCAGGGGAAGGGTGAGGAGGAGAGACAGATTATTCTGTACCATCATTTTCACCCTGAAGAAATCCTTCATTAAATTTAGGAACCGGGTTGTCTGCTAATCATTTTACCAAAGGGTGTTTGCTCAGGAAATGGACTTTTCAAGGGTGGGGAAGAGAAGAATGTGAATTATCAGTAGCGGACCATCCCAGCGGTGGCAGACCATCCCAGCGGTGGCAGAGTCAAGAGGTACAAGAAGTGGTGTGGTGGGTTGTGTCTGGTTGCACAGGGTACCTAATATCCGCCATCATTCTTGACCCTAATTAAGTCTGCTGCTTTCTATAAATGCCTGTGTTCTCTGAGAGCCTAAACGTGAAAGGATTTGCCCTTCCTTTGCCCCCTTGATCAGTCAGAAATAATTTAATGAGAACCTATGTTACACTCAATGTTTCCTTTACACACAGGCCTGTTCCCTGATGTGGTCTGGTTGAGGCTCAAGGATGTTTTTTGTTGCTGAAACTGTGCTCCATGCTTTCCATGGATTATCTCCTATATCCACACCAGCCTTAATAGAGCCCTCTATGAGCTGTGGGTTATAGAAGAGTAAACTGAGGCTAGAAGAGGAGAAATGGCTTGTTGAAAGACATACAGCAGGAAGGGACAGAGCCAGGAAATTAACTGTGCAACCGTGAATTTGAAAGCCTATACTGTTTACGGCTATCAGATGCCAGATAAGCGAGTGGGAACTCCTTCACCACTGTTTGCATGGACTAGATGTTTAGGAAGTATAAAGAGAAAAAGAAAATGCTTGATTTGTGTCTTAAAAATCAGTATTATTACTAATTGGGTATGTAGGACCTCTGATGTTGCTGGAACTAAAAAAAAAAAAAATTAGGAGATCATTTATTTTAGGGAAAACACTAACTATATGGATAAAATTCTTCTGGGTAAAAAGATGCAAAGAACATCGGTGCTACCAGCAGCCAAAACAGACCACCTCTATTGCGGCTGTGATTGAGATATTAGAATTTGCTCTTTCTTCAGCTGTATAGAAGGTACTTGAAACCATCCTGAAATGGAATTTAATTCTCTCACATAACGCATGCCGTAAGCCCACTTTTTAAAATTTAGGTGATGACCAGTAATCTCATGAATGTGAAAATGCCAGTGGGGGTGGGGCAACCATTCTGGTCTCAAACGAGCTTTTTTTTTTTTTTTAAAGATTTTATTTATTTATTTGACAGAGAGGGAGATCCCAAGTAGGCAGAGAGACAGACAGAGAGAGAGAGGGAAGCAGGCTCCCTGCTGAGCAGAGAGCCCGATGCGGGGCTCGATCCCAGGACCCTGAGATCATGACCTGAGCCGAAAGCAGAGGCTTAACCCGCTGAGCCACCCAGGCGCCCCTCAAACGAGCTTTAAATATTAAGCGGAAGCTCTTCAGCAATAAAAAGAAATGAGCTATCCGCTCACAAGAAGACTTGGGGGAGCCTTCAATGCATATTGCTAAGGAAAGACACCAATCTGAAAAGGAAACTACGTACTGTATGAGTCCCACTGTAGGGCATTCTGGAAACAGTAAACCTATGGAGATAGTAAAAGGATTAATGGTTGCCCTGGTTGCCGGGAGAGAGGGATACATCGGTTGAGCATAGAGGATTTTTAGGGCAAGAAAGCCATTGTGTGTGACACTATAATGGTGGATACATGTCACCGGACATTTGTGACAACTCCTAGATGGTGCCATACAAAGAGTAACATAATATAAACTCTGGATTTCAGTTAATAACAATGTATTCATACAGGTTCATCAGTGACAACAAATGGACCACACTAATGCAAGGTGTTAATAATGGGGGAAACTGCAGAAGAGGGCAAAGTGAAGAAGTAGATGGGAACTCCATGCTTTCTGTTCAACTTCTCTATACACCTAAAACTGTTCCCAAAAAAAAGAAGTAATAGACTTTTTTTTTTTTAAGCAAGAAGATGTTTTTCATCATCCTAGCATCTCTGTAGATGATAGTGCCCTTGTAGGAAAAAAAAAACTGATAATCCTCTCAGTGCATAATACTAACTCAGTGCTCAGGTTGTAACAACCAAGGAATATACGAAAGGTCAATTTAAACGTCTCAGTGGGTTGGAAAGACAAAGCAGACTTTGTGCCACAATAGAACTCATCCCATGGAACCATGGAGATGGCAGGAGATAAAACAATACTCTTTATCGCCAGCAGATTAACTAGCAAGGACATGTTCTTTCTATTTATCCTATAGGCTCCTAAGGACAATGGGCCTTTTGTCCTTACACCTGTTGAAAGGGGAAGGAGCCCCTAACAGAGACCTAGTGGGGTTTACGTGAGGCCATGCAGTTCGGATTTCTTACCTTGGTCTCTGATGGTACATCCCGTTTCATAATATGCCTTCCAGCAGGGGAACTTGGAGACGGAGCCTTCAGCATTCAAAGGGAAAAAGCAGGTCCGAGTTTTATTTGAGAAGAATGATGGAATATAGAAATCCATGGAGGAGGGCAGGATAACAAAGTAGTGGCATGTTCTGGCTCTCAGCCAGACACCAGACACAAGTTCCGGGAGGGTCCCGCTCCTTCCCTCTCCTCAGCTTCTAGCACCAGGCACAGGGTCAAGGCACAACAGAGGTGAAGACTGCTGGATCAACAAACCTCCAGGACTTTGCTAGGGAAAAGGAAACAGCAAAATAATTCATCAAGATTGACAGCTGATTTTTCCAGCTGTTTCACAAAGTTTCCAGATAAACATGTCTGTGAGCACATGTGTGCTGATAAATTTTTTCATTCTAAATTCTTGCTTGTAATGGGATCTGTTGGTTTTACTGCCTTCTTGGGGGTAGGGGGGAACACTCCAATTTTCTTTGGGGCAACCAAACTGCCTCTTAATTTTGGTGTGTGAAGTTTGATTTTAATACTTCCTTTTGGCTCGAAGGGACGGTCTGAGGCCCGAGCCCAGCCAGTTAGCGTTATTTCCTCTTGGCCCCGGTGAAATTCAGAGAAAGATGTATAACTCAAGCTGAACCCATGAGAATCCTACCTGGAATTTTGCTGCTTGATTTGGAAAGAAGTATTGTTTTGTTTTTGTTTTCTTTTGGTTTGTTTTTTTTGCTATACTTGAGAAATGGATAAAATGCGAGTCTAGTGTTACTAGTCAACTTCTTAGCCACCACTTGGGAAAAATATTCTTGGAAAGAAGAGCCAAAATAGAAGAGAACTGAACTGAAAGATAGAGAAAGAAGTAGTCCTGGTAAAAATATTTGAGCAACTTGAACCAGCCAAGCCTAAACTCAACCCATTTCCTGGACCCTTCAATGAGATGGGCCACTAAATTCCCAGGATTTCAATCACCTTATAACCAATTCTATAGATAGATAGTTGATAGATAATCTCCAAATATGACCACTGAATTTGTTTTTCATACTTAATGAAAAGTTCTGAGCCTCACTGATGGAAGAACATTGCACAATGTTGACATGAAACCCTAGCTATTTACGGAGTGGGCCCTTTAACCCTTATTTGAATATATGGGAAAGGCACTTAAAAAGACCTAAAGCCATCCATGAATACGTCAACTTCTTTAGCTTCACCAACTCACAAAACACTTTCCAGTTCATCTTCTCTTCCTGTTTATTTAAGTGCGTTCTCTCCTTCTTCCATTCATATGTCCATATCCTTCATATTAAAATCTATTAGGAAAATTCTAACTGGGATGTGTTCTGTCCAGAGCCACCCCACATCTTTGAGGCTCTTCACCCCCCCCCCAGATGGACAAGGATAACATCTGAAATGAAGAGACCTTGAATTTCTATTTCCAAATTCCAACGAAAGGCAGAATTCTCCTTTGTTGAACATCTCACTTCACCACAAATTTTAAACCTTTTTGTGGCTTAGGAAAAGTTGGCACGTGGCAGAGCCCTGCTGAACAGATTGAGACATCAGAGAATGGGCCCTTGGCCATGCCTGGCACACGTTCTGAAGACATGGCCCCATGCCACCTTCCCCCTCACATTCAATGTGACATTAACACTAGGAGTGGGCTCAAGAGCTAGGGCAACTTGGACTTGAAACATAACCTTGAAATTCATGGATGGATTTGAAGGATGAAAAAGAAGGCTCTGTAGCTCTTCAGCTGACTCTAGCCATTAGAATAGGAACTCAAAGCAATTGAGTAAGCTGTAGCACACATAGTGCTAAAGACTCTTCTTGCATTATCCCTTTGAACCCTCATCACAACCCTATGTTGTAGATCCTATTGTAATCCTCATTTTTACAGTCGAAGAAATTTGACCTAGGAAACTGAGTGAACCTTCTCTGGATCACTGAGCAGGATTCAGACCTAAGTAGTAGGCAGGCTCTCCATCATAGCACAACGTTGCTTGCTAAGAATGAAAAGAGCACCTGGATCATGGCTATAGAATGGTGGCAGTGACTGTGATGATGGAAGGAGGCTTAAGCATCATTTAGCCTGATGGAAAACCTGAGGCTGAGGGAGATAAGTGACTTCCCCAAAGCCACATAGCAAAGATAAAGAACCAGACACTGAAATCTAGCCTTGAAGCCCCAGTTCTTTTTCACTGCATGCCTTGTTATTTTCAGATACGTATACAATGCCACACACATCAAGTTAACATGCACTGCTATTATAGATACATGAGTTATTCTAAAATATGTGCATACTACTCGGCAAATGACAACCATCCTGAGACTATCTGTATCTTTGCTTAGGACTCCTGGATCTCCCCACAACTCCCCACAACAAGAAATTAAAGGACTGTCCCCTGTGGCCAATTTCCAATCTGATTAGTCGATCCCTTCCCTCAGTTAAATATTTTTAGTATGAACCCTGCTTAACACAAAAGCCTGCACACATACTCTTCTCCCTCCAGAATAATGGGAATTTAATGAATGGATTGCCGGCTGCATCTCAGTCATTTGGGATAACAATGTTGTCTCAAGTATAAGAGGTAGATGAAAGCTAATCAGGCCAACTGTACACAGGACAGCAGAGGAGAAAGTTCTGCCCCAGCATTCAGGGACTCTGAGGAGGTCTTGCCATTCTCCTTCCAGGTGTGGGTTAAAATGTTCTCTCCCTACAGAGAGGAAGTTCAGAGCATCTGAATTGTCAGAGGCAAGAAGGGTCTTGCGCCTACCTCTCTCACCTTTCTTCTTTCTTTCTAGAATGGCAGAGCCATTCCTCAAGTCATGAGAACCCTACGGACAACAAGTGGAAACACAAGGAAAGCTTGCCTGCTGCAGAGACAGCTACCCCAGTGCCTTTTGAAGACAATGGCAGGTAAGCCATTCTTTTCTGACTCTTCTCAGCTGCAGAAATGGAGAAACGAATTGCTAGTGGAAGGGAAACCCTGACGCATGGAATATCCAGCATGAGTCAACCAACCGTGTGCTACTAGCCCATCTGAAAACCATCTACACAGTGACCTATCTTCATGAGATGAGGGTTTGCAGAGAATTGACTCAAGCTATTTGAATATCTGTTCTCCTGTTATGCCTCACCAGGATTTACATATCACCAAAGAATCCTTAATTATGAATTATTAGGTATATTCATCAAGAATATTCTTTTATGGACCAGAAGTCTATTTCATGGCATGAGGTCTGAAGTAAGAGACGAACCCTGGTCAAAAGCAAATACAGGAAAAGCCTGAAAATGCCTTAGCCCCCTTTCCTTCACTTTATTGACTGGATGTTGGCTTACTTATTCCAGGCCTCTCCTCTGGACTACGTTAGCATTCCACAGCACCTTATGATTTCCTTTTTGTAGCAATTATTGCATTTATAATTATTTTCTTAAAGCTTGTGTTCCCTTCTAAGCCCTAATAACAATGAGAAATTAGTGTGCATTACTCTTACTAACATTTCCCCAATACGGAGAAGGGTGTGTTGTTCAACAGTGGATATTCACTGATGGAAGATCATTGCACAATGTTGACATGAAACCCTAGCTATTTACGGAGTGGGCCCTTTAACCCTTATTTGAATATATGGGAAAGGCACTTAAAAAGACCTAAAGTCATCCATGAATACATCAACTTCTTTAGCTTCACCAACTCACAAAACATTTTCCAGTTCATCTTCTCTTCCTGTTTATTTAAGTGCTTTCTCTCCTACACTGTGATTTAAGGAAACTTCCATTGCATGTTATTGCAATTGGTGCATAACTGAATTTTTCTCAGACTACAGTCCACAGACCAATAAGAGTTGGCTTCCTGTTCTTTGGGGTTCTGTGAATTCCTTATGAGATTTGTAAAGAGATGTAAGCATATGCTGATTCATGCAGATGACCATTGAAAACTGAATGGGAGGGGGCACCTGGGTGGCTCAGTGGTTAAAGCCTCTGCCTTCAGCTCAGGTCATGATCTCAGGGTCCTGGGATTGAGCCCCACATCGGGCTCTCTGCTCAGCAGGGAGCCTGCCCCGCCCCCGTCCTTCTCTGCCTGCCTCTCTGCCTACTTGTGATCTCTGTCAAATAAATAAAATCTTAAAAAACAACAACAAAAAACTGAATGGGGCCATATGATTTCAATATCTGCAGGCTTTAAAATATATTTTAAATTCTCTAACACCCCTCCCTTCAGCAAATGGAGTCTCAATTTCCCTTCCCTTAAAATACAGGCAGGACTTAGTGACTTGCTTCTAGTGAATGATGTGAGACAAAGTTCCCTTACAAGACTTCAGGGGCTAAATGAGAAAAGGTGATACGGTGTCCGCCTGGCTCTCTGTCTTGGGGAGTCCTCCTAGTCCCAACTAGCAGCCAGGTGAGTGACAAAGACTTGGAGAGGACCCCAGCCTCAGCCACCAGCTGACTATGACCTCATGACAGGCCCCGAGCCAGAACTACCCAGCTGAGCCACTCCTGGGTTCCTGGCCCAAAGAAAGCAGCAGAAACAGGTGATTATTGCTGTCTTAAGTCACCCAGTTTGGGGTGTCTGTCACAAAGCAGTAGACAAGGACTCTGCTGTCCTGACTTGCAGCTGAGTTTGTGACCGCATTGCAACCACATATTCATTAAAGGCCAATGAGAAGAGAATACAGGCAGACTTAATAAATGCATGTCAAGTGAGGGATAAAGTTTTGCAGGAGTTCGAATAGAGAACAGTGACAAGAAAATGGCTCATCACAACCAGCTTGGTGTTTCTGGCAAGCTGAACTCAAAGGAATCTTTGTTCCGTCAATACCCTCCTCAAATTGCAAGCAGTTAGCGGGTTTCAGCAAAACAACTTCAAGGACATTTAACAAATGCAGTCAGTTTTCATTGTTTTGGTTTTGTTTGGCTTTTTTTTTTTTTCTGATTCTTTTGGACATTATAATTCCTTATATCTAGTTTTATATGTAATCATTTAAGTAACATAATAAAATACTTCAGTCAGCACGAGTGAAACACAATTATTTTTTCTTTGATAGGAATCTTAAGTTTGAGAATCAGGGAGGAACTTCAGATAGGCCTCTGTAACTATAACACACGACAACCTCATTTACTGTTAAATGAAGGACTACCTACGACTCTTTCCCCTAGAGCATTTTTCTTAATTCTCCATATATATAGCAATTCAATTGCAAGCCTCAGTGTATTTGCCTTTAGGTCTCCCAGTTGTTGAAGTCTTGCATTCGAAACCCCTATTGATGACAATGATGGTTTCAGTCTAT